AGGCGCGCCGATGCCCTTCAAGAAGACCACAATGCCGCCGCGTTGCCGCTGCCGCGCCGAGTGTGTGCTCGAAGAGCGCACATGCTTGGTATACCACCTCTTCTCTCTTTTCAGTGCCACCGGACAGTGCAAGCACTATCTTGGCTTGATTGGTTCAGCTCCCTGTGCGGGCGCATAGATCACCTCGTTCGCCATGCCCAGAGGTCCGACTGCTCCCGGCGAGCAGGCTCTAATGCAACGCGGAGGTCGTTTTCGAAGTCAGACACGGCGACTGGCTCCCGCAAACTGTCGACCTTCCAGAATCGTGTTGCTGCTCCGTCAGGCTGCGGCAGCGAGGGATCTTAGCCACGGAGGCCTCTCTACCGATCTACTCGCCCAATGCGCCGAATCGCGTTCGTCGACCGATCTCGTTGCTGCATAGCCCATCCTACCGCTTGGGCTTTTTCGATGCGCAAGAGCTTCGCGGCAACATTGTACAGTCTATCCCATGGACTGACTAAGGCATCCCGCAAACACGGTGCATCATTCCGGTGATTTACGACGTCATGTGGCTTGGTGAAGCGCAGTTTCCGAGCTTGATCGCGACACACGCGCTCGAAGGTGCCCAGAATGGCTCGCATACGACAAATGCTGCTGAGCCTTCCGCCGCATGTGACGTTCGCATGGCATGGTGCGAAATACACCGGCTCTCTATCTTCATCGCACAAGGGTCCAGAGCCGTTATCTCAGCTCTCAATCCAAAATCGATCCAGCGACACACTGATTCTGAGCCACCACGACGAATCTACCGTCGCTTTGGATCAATCTGCATGCACCGTCTTGCTGGGCCCAAGAAAGGTTAGCAATGTTGACCTCCAGCCCTTAGCTCAGAATACAGCGTTAGCCGGACTTGTCAGGGACGAGCACGAGGTAGGAGCTGCGAATCACGTCCATCCAGATTGAGGGCGTACCCTGCATACTCCTGCCTTTCCCCTGGGCCGAGGTACCATCTGCTGCTTCTCTACCCCTCTTCGAAATCTCAAACGTGTAAGCCGCTCGGCTCGGATGGCGATGTCTTGGCGTCGAGGCAGTCGAGTCTTTGACGACTCTTGATCTGATCCGACTGCACCCTTCTGCCTACTATCAGGTCGATTTTTTCTCAGGCCATCCCATTGCATATTCAGAGCCGAGCAGCCTGTTCCTATCCCTTTTGCTTGCGACGCGTAGGTCGATATGTTTCCTCATGAACGCCATGCCTCAACTCCGCGTGCGCTGTCTCCAGCTTAATGTTGAAGAAGCAGGGGGCATGAGCTGACCCTTGGGCGCGTGGACACGTATTTTCTGCCCAAAGTTACTTTGCTGGAGGTAGTCGGACTGACCAAGTTCCGGACAGCTCTGAAGAGAGCAGCCAAGATGCGTGTGCGGCTGTGCTACTTCGCCTCTTGTGCAAGCAAACGCCGAGACGTTCCCATCGGCGTCTCAATGAAGCGAGTGCAGGCATACCAAGGCGTCTCTGACCACGCTAGCGGTTGACTGGGAGCTCGCACATCTTGACCCCGAGTTCGGCTCTCGATGAGAGCGTGAGCAGCGATGAGGCAGTGCGGAAGTGTAAGAACACGGAT